CATTAAGACAATGAGGTAACATTAGGAAGATCTACTAAAGTCAGAAAGTCAGCAATTCTTAGTCACTATGTGGTGTACATACAAGAACAAATTATAATATAGGAGCCAAAAATGATCCTGAAATATTTTTACAAGCCATGAGTTCTAAAGAATCAAATTTATGGTACAATGCCATGAAAGATGAGATGGATTTTATGACATCTAACAAAGTCTAGAATCTCGTCAAGTTGTCTGATGATATAAAAGTCATTAGATGTAGGTGGGTCTTTAAAACAACGAAAGACGCACAAGGCAACATTGAGAGACATAAGGCAAGGCTTATTGTCAAAGGGTTCACTCAAAGAGAAGGAATCGATTACAAAGAGACTTTTTTTTCCTGTGTCTAAAAAGGATTCTCTTCGAGTAATTATGGTTTTGGTAGCTCATTTTGACCTTGAGTTACATTAAATGGATGTGAAGACAACATTCCTCAATGGTGATCTAGAAGAAGAGGTTTACATAAAACAACCTGAAGGATTCTTCTCTAGTAACGGTGAGCATTTGGTCTGCTAATAAGTCTATATATGCATTAAAACAAGCTTCCCGCCAATGGTATCTAAAATTTCATGAAGTCATATCTTCATTTAGTTTTGAAGAAGACATTATAGATCAATGTATATATATCTTAAGGTTAGTGGGAGTACGATTTTTTTTTGTTTTTGTTTTATATGTAGATGATATTTTGCTTGCAGCTAATGATAAGAATATATTATATGAATTGAAACAATTTTTCTCAAAGAACTTTGATATAAAAGATATGGGTGAAGCATCTTATGTCATAAGTATTAAGATCCATAGAGAAAGATCTCGAGACATTTTGGGTTTGTCTCAAGAGACTTATATCAACAAGATTTTAAAGAGGTTTAACATGAAAGATTGTTCAGCAAGTGTAGTTCCCTTTGTGAAGGATGATAAACTTAAATTGAGTCAATGCACGAAAAATGACATTGAGCAGGAACACATAAAAAATATTTCATATGCTTCAGCTATTGGAAGTCTTATGTATGCTCAAGTTTATATAAGACCTGATATCGCATTTGCAGTTAGAGTTTTGGGAAGATATCAGAGTTATCCATGTGTTAACCATTGGAAAACTACAAAAAAAGTAATGAGATATCTTCAAGGAACAAAGGATTATATGCTTATGTACATACGGACTGATGATTTAGAGGTAATAGGCTACTCTGATTCAGACTTCGTTGGTTGCATTGATACTAGAAAATCAACATCTAATTACATTTTTATGTTAGCTTATGGAGCTGTGTCTTGAAGCAGCATGAAGCAAACCTTGACTGCTACTTCCACTATGGAGGTTGAGTTCGTTTCTTGTTTTTAGGCTACCTCATATGGTAAATGGTTGAAGAGTTTTATATATGGGCTTAGAGTTGTAGACTATATTTCTAGGCCGTTGAAGGTGTACTGTGACAACTCTACTGCAGCATTTATGCCTAATAATAATAATAGTGGAAGTCAAAGTAAATACATTGATATTAAGTATTTAGCATAAGAGAACGTGTTAAGGAAAAAAAAAATGGTCATTGAACACGTTAACACTGAGTTAACGATTGCTGATCCTTTAACTAAAGGCATGCCACCAAAGAATTTTAAGGATCATGTAGCATGAATGAGACTTAGTTCCATGATGTGACAATCATTATGAGTACTTTTATTGTTTTGACAAAACTTTTTATTCAGTTTTAATGTTTTCTATTTCATTTTGTGCACACTTTTGTTTGATTGAGAAATATTGTTTAATTTGACCTTGAATGAACATGTAGTTTATTCATTAAGTTGAGAGCTAGTATTGAGACACTTGGTATATTGTGATACATGGGAGATAATACTTACCATTGGAGGAACTATCATCATGATTCATATATTGGTTTCTTATTATGGTTGATAATGGGATTAATGGATCAAGTGGGAGAATGTTAGCAACCCATTTTAGTTTTAGTTCTTATCTTTAAGGAACATAAAAATAGAAATATAATATGATCCACATCCCCATTAACGACATTCAATTTTTATTTTATATAAAAGTTAACTCTGCTAATTTTTTGAATTGGGCTTTATGATAGGAAGAACCCTATAAATATTTTGCACTCTCATTTGTTTTAGGTCACTAAATCTACTCTTTTATTCAGTCTAAACACACACCATCTGTGACATCTAGGCGCTAGGAGAGGGCGGGGAGTGATCATCGGTGCATTGTAGCACGGATAATGAGTGGCTCCTAGTAGGCTTCTGGCGGTAAGGGACACATGAATGAATTGAACTTACACTAGAATGAGAGGGATCTGGAGACTGTGTATATAATTGATGATAGCTTAAATGAATTGATTAGGACTATCTATACCAATAAAATGCATTTACTTTTCGGTGGTCTATCACATAAGAATTCTAAAGTTAAGCATGCTTAACTTGAAGAAATTATGGGATGAATGACCTTCTGAAAAATTCACGGGAAGTGTGTGAGTGAGGATAAAGTATACTGAAAAGTCTTATGTTGGTTTGTAGGGACAGTCATCAATCCTGAATAAGTTGTCGGGCTATTATACCATCAAGTTTTGAGTGAGTGGGGGTTTGAAAAACTAAAAGACCGTGATTGCGAACCAAATTGGCAATGGCTGGAAGGTTAGTGCATTGATCTGTTTTCGCTTCCGCACATTAGTAATTCTTACAATACAAAGTCAAAAGTTGTGGCGGGAGATGAGTGTATGGATAACATAGTCAATAATGGAATCTACCATGTTCCCATCATTGAGTTCGGCCTAGCATGTGAATCTGAGCCAAGAACTGCTTAACAAAACATTAAAAAAAAAAAAAAAAGGTCGTCAAAGGAATCGTCGTGTAAATTAAGGAGTGGAACTAAAGTCCAAAGCTGCTTCTAACACTTGCTCATAACGCTGGTTTGAACAACTATTGTTGCGTCCACAAAAGAGAGGATGCTATGGATCACTTCGTCTGGCAAGTTGTTGTTCTCTTTTTCTTCTCCTTTTATTTTTTGTTATTCTTGTCGTTTCTCCTATTGTGTCTTTTCTTCCAAACTTGGAAGTGTTTCCACCTTTAATTTGAACTAAATTTTTCATCTTCTTTTTATGAGAAAACCTTTTTCTTGAGTGTTGTCTTTCTTCTTCTTTCTCTTTCCCTTTCCAAATGATTTAAATAGTTATTTTTTAAAAAAAATTATTTTTTTTATACGCACCATATGTTTTGTACACACGCTCATATGTCTTGTTTAAATAAAATTTATTTTATCTTACACGCGCCGTATATCTTGTCTTAAATAAAATTTATTTTTTCTTACACGTCAATATGTCTTGTCTAAACAAAATTTATTTTCTCTTACACGTCGTATATCTTGCATATGCTCATATGTCTTGTTTAAACAAAATTTATTTTATCTTACACGTCATATGTCTTGTCTAAATAAGATTTGTCCAAATAAGACATATAAAAAGAATAAATATAAATTAATTAATTATAAATTATTTATTTTATAAAATAATTATAATATTATTAATAAAATGTATAAATAATTATAAACTTATAAATTAAATAGTAAATTTTATTTTTTCTAACATTTTATATTAAAATATTAATAAATAATTAATAAGACAAACAATGACTTATGTAAAAACTTCTAAAATGTAAGTTAATAATTTAATATAAAAATAATGTATTGTTGTTTTTATTGTTCTTTTATCATTATTACTATTAAGCAACCAATAGATGTATTAATTAATTAACTAAAAAATTTATTATTTTACAAAAAAATTATAACATCACTATGAAATATATAGATGATTATGTACCTACTAATTATATGATATAATAAGTTTTAAAGTTTAGTACTTGCTATGATACCTATAAACTTGAAATTGCATTGTATGTCTTCTATAAATTAACAGTTATAGTTATTTTAATATATTAAAAATTAAAAGATATTTACATCTTTTTCAAGTTTAGAATTAAGTTTTTCTGAGTGACATGGGAAACGGTTTGTAAATCACAAGAGAATGGTAGTTTGGGCATTAAGAATGTGCAGTGGTTTAACTAGACGTTTATTGGTAAATAGTTGTGGCGAGGTGTTAATTGTTCTAACTCATTGTGGGTGCGGGTGTTAGGAGATAGATATGGTATATTAGCTTCTTTTATTCAACATCCATCAATCCACAATAGATGTTCTTTGTGGTGGCGTGATTTGCTGGAGGTTATTCATTAAGGGAATTCATAGCTGAATGAGAAGTTAGATAGGAGTGCGGGTGCAGATTTACACACTCTTTTTTTGGGAGATAAGTGAATAGGTGAGTTGCGATTGTGTGAGGCATTTTTACAATTATTTGTTGTGGTGAAAAATGTTGAATCTTGTATATTGGAGAATGGTTTTCATGATAGCACTAGGTAGATTTGAGATGTTAGTTGGCGAAGAGGACTTTTTCAACATAAAATCTCAAGCTTTAATCTTTTGTTAGAGCTTGTGGATAGAGTTTCTATTAAATTACAACAAGAAGATAAATAAGTATGACGGACAGATTTTTTATGTTGTTATTCAGTGCAATCTGCGTATTCATGGTTATTTGAACTTTTTGGTGGTCCTAATAGTGTAGATCAATGTAAATAAAAATAAAATAATTAAATAAAAATAATATTTAATAAATTATTTTAAAATATAATTGTATTATTTTTAATATTTTTTATAAGTTTTAATTTTGAATATGAATTTCTAATGTGTAATTACTCCTATTATGATTATTGTTTCATTTTTTTTTATCTTTACTTCATCACTGTAATCTAATAAAATATAAAATGTTTTTATTTAATACTTAAAAAAAATATAGAAACTAATTAGCAAATTCACTGTGTGATTACATAGACACACGAAGTCTTTGCAAGTGTAGTTTATAAATATACATGAAAGAGTGTTTTTGTAGGAAGAACAGGCGTTGATCAACAGCGCGATGAAATTGTTTTTTCAACCAATGCTTTCACCTCTCATGTTGATGTTTCTTAGTTGCTCTTTCTGGACTGGTGGAAGCATACAATGTGGGGGGAACCAAATCGCATACACTGTAATTGTTGATCAAAATGGCAAAGGAAAATTCCCAACGGTTCAAGCTGCCATTGATTCCGTAGAGAAAAACAACAACAAATGGGTTAAAGTTCGCATAAATGCTGGCACGTACATGTAAGTTGTAACGTTATTATCTATTACTTACCTTATTTACATAGTAGAACATTGAAGTATGGTGTATTATTTTCTTTATCTGTTGCAATTTTGCAGAGAGAAAGTTCAAATTTCCTTTCATAAACCGTGCATCATCTTAGAAGGTGCTGGCAAAGACATTACCTCTATTACATTCCACAGCAACCGCCCTACATTTGTGTCTTCTCCGCCCAACGTGGTGGTCATTGGCATTAGCTTCAAGGTAATTAGATAATATTACGACGTAGTATTATTATTATTATTTTAATTTATGTAACATTATTCTAAATATTTTTTATTGTTTTTGTAGTTAATTATATAACATAGAAATTGTTTGAATGAAAAAATATTTTTTTTATAATTTTATTTAAAAAAATTATAGCCACTTAAAAAAATATTATTTTAATAAAATTATTAATATATACTTTTATATTGTTTATTATATTTTATAATTTTTTTAAAGAGTTCTAATTTTTTATTTCGTCTATGATCTTACAAAGTTTAAAAACGGCCCTCACCATGGGTTGATACCACAAAACGCGTCCAATGAAAAAAGAAGCTTACTCCGTTACAGTTAAAGGAATATTCTTTAGTCTTTTATTAACAAAGAGGGGTGGCTTTCCAACTTACCAGTGAAATTATCATAATTTTGGGTTAAGTTGTTTTTTATGGTTAATCAAGATTAGGAAGGTACTTTGGGTTAGTCTCATTTGTGTTCAATCACTCCAAAGAACTGTACCAAAAAACAAAACAAAAACAAAATTCATTCCATGCAATAAAATAATTTTCACTCCTTTTTTACTACCATCTTTTTACAAACCAATATTTCGTTTTTTTTTTTTTTTTCTTTCGGTTTAATTTGTTCCAAGAGAAGCCTTTGTATGTGTTAAAATTTTTCAATTCTTATGAACAGAGGTTTGAAACAGAAAACCAAAAACAAGCTGTAACTTGAGTTGCTAGATTAGATCATAATGTTCGAATGCCATAATCATTTGTAGGGTATATATTTCTATCTTCTTGGCTTTTAAAAAGCGAAACATTGTACTTTTGAGTACTAATGATGTGTGACCGCAGCTATATGGAAAGATAAGGAGAGTTTGAATCTGTTCCAAGTATCACATATCTAGGGTGTTTGAACAAGAAGTATTATGGCCACTAGACATTATTTTTCACTTCATCTTAGCTATGTTGAAAGTAGGATAATTGAGATTCCATATTTAATAGGCTATTTATAACATAAGAGAGCTGAAAAGGATACGACTTACAAGAGCCTAAAAGATCACAAAATAACCATAGTTTCAAATATGATGTCAGACTAAGAACAATAAGTCAACTCCTATTTACTCTTTGCTCTGCATGACAGGAGTTCTTTGTTAAGACTCAAGAAAAACATATTTTAATACCCAAAAAGATAGAGCCGTGAGAATAAGCTGGAATCCATCTTCAACCAGATTGGTTTGCACTTTTACGTACCTGTAATGGAAAGCACTGAATTTGTAACTGATTTCAAGGGGACAGACAATAAAATATCAAAATTTCTAACTATAATAACTTTGTAAATGATAATAAGAAGTTATATATAATAAGTTTTATTAAAAATTACAGAAATCAATGAAATTTAATACATTGATATAATTAAATGCTACAATTTTCAATAAAAAATATTATTTATAACTTTTTATCCTATGTAATGTTATACAAATTAAAAAAAAAAATCAATAAAATATATCACAATGCTCTTTGCAGGCCTTTTGAAACAGATACTTCAGCAATTCCTTTTGTTAAATAAAATTCAATTAGGTTCAACTATGAGGGTTGGATGGAACAAAGTAGAAGGGATTTAGCCGTTCAAGAGTAAACAAACATACCAAATCATTTATAAGAGTTCAGGCAGAAAAATAGCAGCTGTGTTTAACATTTTTCTTTTGTCAATCCTCAGTTTTGATTCCTGAAACCTGGGTTGTATTTAAGAAATTCACCTATTTTAAGATGAACAGCATGCATACACCAATATGATACATAAATAAATGCTCTGAGCCATCCAGATTTTACCACATGAAAGAAGTTCAAGTTGTATCATGCTTGCTCTTGGTAATTATTTAGCAGTTAGATATACAACCTTGTATCATTTGTGCAAGCAGAAATTATAACAATGAGAATGGAGTTGATGTACAGTATATTTGGATTCCCTTTAACAATGAGAATTGAGAATGGAGTTGTATAATAGGTTTTAGGATTGCTTAAAATACGACTGAATGGAATGCAACACGATGGAATGCGCTATTCCATTCCGTCCAATTCCCCAATTTGGGAGTTTAGGATGAAACCAGTTTTTATTTTCCTATTCCATCATAAAAATATCCAAATAAAGGAATTATAACTTGATTCCAGTCTATGTACCAATTAGATATCCAAACATAGCCTTAGGTCTTCTTCTACCCTTTTTACCAAATAATAAATCTTATATTTGATTGGTTATTCTCGTTAAACCTTCTATTAGTCTTCTAGTATGACTAAACCATCTTCACAAAACTTCACACCATGAGTTCCAAGATATGTTATAGGAATTTCAGAATCCACACAAAACTTGGTTCAATCTTCTGCAACATTGACATATCAAACCCTTATAATAAGACCTTAGTTGGAACAATTATCGTAGTTTGTTGAGCTTTCTTAATGCCAAATAATTCCAAATTCTTGCTTTTCAAGTAATCTTGACCTTTAAAAAGAAACATTTACAATCCCATAATGCAACATGACAATCAATCAATATGTCAATGCTCTGCATTTATCACAAGTGCTTAAAGAACAGAGAGCATCTGGGTATATATTCTCAGCTTGTACTGTTAGTTTGCTGTTGTATGTATAGCTAGCAAAGCATGCTTGTGTACTTGTATCAATATTGGTGTAACCATCAGATTCACAACGAATGAAAATCATTTTCAGTACAAAAAAAAAAAAAAAAACTCATTGCTCTCAGTTTTCTTTCATTCTCTCTCTACCTCTGAACTCTAATATGGTAATAAGAGCTTGTTTCTAATGCAGAGCCATGTCTTCCAATTTCTAGTGTCAATTCTGGCATAAGCCCTAATCAATTTCTTTCGCACAATTTCAAAGAAGTTAGGCATGGCACCTGCACAGGGGAGGAAGAACGTCTATGCTACCCAACCCAAACTCTCACCTTGTAGCGTTGTAATCCTGTCCATTTTCCAAGTACACAAAACACTACCAGGAATCATGCGTTTCAAATCATATATAAACTTGTTTTTAAGTAAAGTTGGGTAAACTTAAGTGAACTCGGATAAATTGAGGTAAACTTGTGAGTTTACACCCGATTTCACGTGTTTAATCAAACAAAGAGAAAATCATATCATCTTTTATCATGTCCTATCTACCGAATTTGCCCTAAAGTGTAATGATGCTGCTTTCAAATCAAAGTACTGCCGATTCCCTCTTAGCAAAAAATGAATCTTATATTTGATCGACTTTCTCATTAGAGCTTCCATTAGTCTTCTCCTTAAAAGACCAAACCATCTTCACAACTCTTTACACCGTGAGTCCTAAGAAATGTGTTAGGAAGTCAACAACCAACATAAAATAAGATCAAATCCTTTTAAGAACTCAGCTGGATCAATTTTGTACTTCACTGAGCTTTCTAAACACCAAATAGTTCACAATTATTGTTTTTAAAGAAATATTGACCTTAAAAAGAAATATCTGTGACAATTTTCTGCATTATTATTAGGGCTAAAAGAAACAGTCAAAGATTTATTACATACCCCATCAATAGCAGCATTATTATTAGGGCTAAAAGAAACAGTCAAAGATTTATTACATACCCCATCAATAGCAATCAAATCCAGGAGATCAGCCAAATAAGTAAGCCATGACATTAGTAGGTATGGCAAAGAAGGAAGGTGTATCCATGTTTAACTCAAAACTCTGCACTCCAGTGAAAGGAGAAGAACGGCCATCCAGCAGAGCAGGAAACATAGACAGCACCTACAAAAAATCAAAGAAAGACACGAATTCATATCCACAAAACTGAAGTAGCAATCATTAATTGAAATCAAAGAACTATGCTTACTTCAATGATACCAGGTGACAAGGACACAAACTTTGCACTCCCCATGGCTTCAAACAAGTCAATCAACTGATAACACAAATCAGCATCTGTAGTCAAACACTCCAGAACAATATCCACTTTCTCCACAAAGGAAAGGTCCACCATGGGAGAAAAATCATACAGATCAGAGTCACTGTAGCTAAAAGATCGAAGCTTTGGCGTGAAAAGCTCAATGACACAATCTGAATCAAACACTTCATCCACCCTCATACTCGATATACTCAATTCAGTGAGCTGAGGAGCAGAGATTATTAACTCTTCAATGTCACCATAATATTGACAGCCATGCATAAACAAACACTTCAAATTAGCACAACCCCTAAAAGGATCAAGAAACTCTTCCCCACATTCAAATCGACAATCACAAAGGTACAACTTTTCAAGGGAAACAAAGTCAAAAGTTGTGGTCTCAGTGGCTATATCTACAAGCTTGAGCGTGGTGAGAGATTGACAAAGAGAAAGTTGAGGTAACTTTCGTATAACGCATTCCGCAAGGATACTGATAAACTTTATGTTTGTGGAGACGGGTGTCTGGATAACATAGTCAATAATGGAATCTACCATGTTACCATCATTGAGTTCGGCCTGGCACGCGAAGCTGAGCCCCTGTACTTTGGCAGAAGCGTCTCTGTTAGCCAAGAACTGCTCGACAAAACATTGAAAAACAAAAGGGTCGTCAAAGTAATCGTCGTGCAAATTAAGGACCGGAACTGAAGTCCAAAGTTGCTTCCAACGCTTGCTCAGAACGCTGGTTTGAACAGCTGTTGTTGCGTCCACAAAAGAGAGGATGCTATGGATCACTTCATCCGGCAAGTTGCTTAGCCTGTCCTCTTTAACTGTTATCTTTTTCTTCTCCCTTTGATTTTTATTCTTGTTCTTCCTGCCGTGTACTTCTCTCCCAAACTTGAAAGTATTTCGACCTTCGACTTCATCGGAATTCTTCATCGTCTTTATATGAGAAAACTCTTTTCTTTTGAGCGTTCTCTTTCTTCTTCATCTTCTTTTTCTTTCCCTTCCCTTTCGAAATAATTTAAATAATTATTTTTTAAATTTTATTTTATTTTTTTACATACTTCAAATATTTTATATATACACTAATATATTTTATTTAAATAAAATTTATTTTCTTACACACGTGTATCTTATACTGATACACGTATATATTTTATTTAAATAAAATTTATTTTATTTTACACGTAATATATTTTGTCTGAACAAAATTTGTTCAAATAAAATATATAAAAAAATAAATTCATATAAATTAATTAATTATTTATTTTATAAAATAATTATAATAATATTAATAAAATATATAAATAATTATACTTATAAATTAAATAATAAATTTTAAAAATTTTATAATATTTTATATTAAAATATTAATAAATAATTAATAAGACAAACAATAACTTATAAAAAATTTTAAAATGTAGAATAATAATTTAACACAAAAATAATGTTTGTTATTTTTATTCTTCTTTTATCATTATTAATGTTAAGCAACTAATAAATATATTAATTAATTAATTAAAAAATTATTATTTTACAAAAATATATATAACATCACTGTAGAATATATAGTTAATTATGTACTTACAAATTATATGATATGATAAGTTTTAAAGTTTAATACTTATTATAATACTCATATACTTAAAATTGCATTTAGTGTCATTTATAAATTAATAGTTATGATTATTTTAATATCATAAAAATTAAAAGATATTTACATCTTTTTCAAATTTTGAATTAAATTTGTTTGCACGGTGTTTTGCTTATTACTTTAGAAGGTATTAACATTTAACATATGTTTGTTCTAACTAAAATCTCTGAGATAATTTTATACTTTAATTTGAAGAGGAATCTGAGACATCTTTGAGATAATACAGTTAGTGTTATAACTTATTTTTATTAAAATTTTTAAGATGATTCTATATTTTAATTTGGAGAGAAATTCTAAAACACTTTTAAAAAAATACATTTAATGCTATGACCTGCTCTGACTAAAATCTCTAAAATGATTCTATACTTCAATTTGAAGAGAAACTCTAAGACACTTTTGAAAAAATGCATTTATAGTTTAGAGTTACTTATGAAAGTAATTAAATAATTTAAAAGGTTAATAGATGAAGTCTTAAATTAACTCATGCTTATGAAAGAGATAAAATTTAAATTTTCAATAAATAATTTTTTAATGGTAAGAAAATAAGAGGACATAGATCTATAAGATAAAGTACCTTACTTTAATATTTTTATAACCTTTTATATTAAAATGTTAATAAATAATAAATAAGACAAAACAATGACTTGCAAAAAAAATCTAAAAAATATAAGATAATAATTTAAAACTAGAATAATATAGTATTGTTTTCTTCATTGTTCCTATATTATTATTATTCAGTAACTAATAATTATATATAAATTAATTAATTAATTAAATATTTTTATTTTATAAAAAAATTATAACATCACTGATAAAATATATAGATGATTATGAACCTATAAATTAAATTATATAATAAGTTTATTAGAAAAAGATTATTATAAGTTTTAAAATTTTTATAGCATTTTACATTAAAGAATTAATACATAGATAAAAAGACAAAATAATGACTTAGAAAAAAAATATCTAAGATGTAAGGTAATAATTTAACACAATAACAATATACTGTTGTTGTCTTCATTGTTCTTATATTGTTATTATCACTGAGCAACCAATATTTTTATTATTGTCGTCGGTCCATTCGTTCTTTTCTCTTTATCTTTACCGCACACTGTTATCGGTCTTTCGTTTCAACTTTTATTGTCGTTTCTACCCACCATCACTGTAATCGTTGCAACCATTTGTCAATCAATCACAATCATTATCGTTATTACTGCTCCAACATTATTAATCAATGTTTACTGTTAATAAACAGAATCAAATAATTTGCATGCTTTTATTAAAACTCAAAACAAAAAGTAATAAAAAATGAAAACTAAAATCATAAAATTAAAAATTACCTTAAAATTTTCAAAATATAAAATTAAATATTATCCCATATAGCCTTAGTCAAGGAAAATCAAATTTCTTATTACTTCGAGCACGGATTTATAAAACCTGAGAAAAATAGAAACCATACTACTGTAAGGATATATATTTTTTGTATTGCCTTGATAAGAGCAACTGAGCAAGCTTAAACAACTAATTATAACATCTTATAAAAAAATATATATTACTTTTCTCCTAAAACAAAATAACCGTTTAATATATAATAAACGATGAAGCATCTATTACATGTAAGATCTAGATAGATTACATTATTATATTATCTCTGCACTTAAAGAAAACCATCTTAAAAATCTTTATTGTATGATATTTCAATAAAGTTTAATCTTTCAATTTATTACAATAAAAGTAATGTGAGGCTTAGCTACACGTAGAAATAGAAATATAATAAAATATTTAACAAAACTTTAATTTTTTTATTTAAGTAATAGATTTAATTTATTTTTTTTAAATTAACTAATTTAATAAGATAAGTTTGAGTTTAAGAAAAATCCATTAAATTTAAAAAAATATATAATTAAGAGCATATATTTTTTACATTCTAATATTAACTATTACATCAAAAGTTTGTATTTAGTATTTAAAATAAAGTTATTAATAAATATTGCTATTAGTTGAAAGAATAGTCAATTAAAAAATTAATTTAAGATGGAGATTGACTTCGTCACAAGTTTCAAAATAATAATTTCTAAAAATATTTGTAATCATTTGTAATATGAAAATATATAATTTTATTATAAATATTTGAAGTATTTAACTATTTTTTTTCATGTCTTAGAGATAAGCTTTCTGACTTTTTCAGAGATATACTTATTTAGATAATTTGATAGTTTATTAATAATTAAATTTAAGAGCCTATTAAAAACTTCAAAGTTTGTCATTAAAAAACTAATAAACCAACTCAAGATCTTAAAAAGGTAATGTAGTAAAAAACTTATAACAAATAATAAATTAGACTTTAAAATTATTAAATACATTAGAATTATTTAATTATTTATATAAAGTCTAACTTAACCTAATCTAACTTGATTCTAATTCTCTAATTTTTAATTATGTTGCAATTTTAGTTTCTTATTTTTATTAATTTAATAAATTTTGTCATTCCATCCAATTTTAATGGAATTGTTCTTCATTCTTCTCTCCCTTTAGTTGAAGTTTGTCATTGCTTCCTCTCTCTCGCTTGTCTTACCTTGCCATTATTAAAATGTAGATCTTCTTCCTCCTTTTTTCCTAGTCAAACTCTTTCATTAACATACTATTTTCTTTTCTTCCCTTTCTTTCTTAAACCAAAACTAATCAATTTCTCAAATCAAAATGTAGTTTTTTTTTTATCATAAACTATAATCAATTTTTATTTTGTTGATACTTAAGTTTGTATATTGTGTTAACTAAATAGTCAACGCCTAAACAAATGAAACACTTATAAAAAGAAAAAAAAAAAAGTAATAAGAGACTTTAATGTTAACAAAAAGATAAAGAAAAAGAGAATGAAGAGAGAAGTGTGAGAAAAATATCTACAATTATAAAAGAGACTAAATTTATTAATTTAAATAAGACAAAAAAATTCACGACACTAATGTAAGTATAGTAACTATCTATTTTACATGCATTTATAAGTTAAAAATTATTAGAATTTTTTAAAATTTTAAATTGTTATAACAATTTATACATTATTACTTTTGAAAGTATAAAGTGGTTAACTACTCTTTAAAGTGTGACTTTAGAGAATAATTATTCATAAATAATTTCTAAATATATTAATTGTTCTATAAAATAACAAGCAATTATATTATTTTCTCTACACGTGATGACTTCAAAAAAAATATAAATGAAATAGTGATTAGGTTGTATTAATGCAAATGCTCTTGCCAAAAATTATGTGTCCTTACGAAGTTGGCATGCATTTTGTTACTATTGTAACAAAAGCTCTTAATCATGAAAGAGTTGGGACAATAGAGGAGGAGTAGAAAAAATAGGTTGATAGGTAACAAGAAAAGAGATGTAATAGTAGCAATGGGAAAGTTTCAGTGATAACAAACTCCTCTAAAAAGAGAGGACTAAAAAATATCTTTTAATTAAAAAATGGTAACTGAATAAAAGTGCAATAATTATTAAATTAAGTATACATATAAACTAAAATTATATAATAAAAAAATTCAAAAACTAAAATTAAACAAACATAATAATCATTAATCAATTTGGTTCATATAAGATTATAATTTTAGAAACTTATTTATGAAAATGGTTAATATTTAAAAAATAATTTAAAAAAGTTTGAAAACCTAAATTTGAAAATTAATAGTTTAAAATTTTAATTTTGAAAACTTATTTTGATAAGTGTAAAATCATAATTTTAGAAACTTATTTTTAAAAATATTAATAATTATGAAAATTAATTTTTAAAAGTAAGGAAATCCAATTTTAAAAATTAATTTAAGAAGTATAAAATTTTAATTTTAAAAATTTATTTTTGGAAGTGTATAATCCTAATTTTAGAAACTCAATTACGAAGAGAATATTAATTTACAAATTAATTTTAAAAGTGTGAAAACCTAATTTTAAAATTTTAAATTTAAAAGATATTAAAATATCATTCTAAAAGTTTATTTTAAAAAATTGACAATATAAAGAAATTTTATATTTTTAATTAATTATGAATTATTGTGTAAATAAAATAATTAATATTTATAATAATTAATATAAAAATATATTTATGATGCATTTTAATTGATTAGCAAATACGTTTGGTATAAATTAAAAAATATTTATACTGAAAATACATTAAAGTTAATCTTTATTTTAATAGGTCATATTTTGTTTTTGAATACTAAAATATTAAGAAAACAAAAATATGCTATTATCCGAGGAAGTTCTGTATCTGCTTAGTGCTAACAGATAACTGCTCTGGTCGATGGCCATGGAGCTGTGTACCCGAACCTTCACAAGGGTCGTCCTTTTCAAACCTTCTTTCTCACACCCCACTTCAAACCCTCTCCTTCTTCGTGCCAACACTGCACCCTTCAAATTCACTTCCTTCAATCTCTCATCATCTTTTATCCCTCATCATGTTCACCTCTTTCAACACACTTCTTCTCCATTCCCACTCGCAGCTTCTTCTTCTTCTTCTTCAGTCGCACTTGGAGAAGAAAAGGACCGTCTTCCTGCTGAATTGAAGGTCACTGAAACAGAGGAATCCAACTCCAGAGTATGTCAATGTTCCTTTTATCCACTCTTCTCAGTTTTGTGCTGCACACTTGAAATTGGTGTGGTGTTTATATTTCTCATCCCCCATTTTCCCAAGTTCTTTGTTTTTTTTTTTTTTGCTGTTTTTTTCTTTTAAAAATTAAATTTTTGGTGTACTATTTATATAGGGTAACGTTAATTGTAAAGATATAGCATTGCTTTTAACGGTGTAATCATAAAATGAAACAAACCAAACACTCCCTTAGCTAAGCAGTAAGAGTAATACACATATGCTGTTCTACCTCTCCTTTCTTGCTGTGCACCATTGGTTTTGATGTATATATATCATTTCCTTAAAGAATATATTTAAACTAGAGTGTTTACTCAATGCCTTGAATGGGAGTGTGTGAGAAGTGTGTGGGTCTAAACTTGTGAAAGTATCATCAATCAATTGCAAAAGAAACCCTTATAGTAGGATGATGGTAAGCTTATCTTTTGGCTCCGAATTCATATCGTTGAATATGTGTTTTTGCATCTTTTTCTCTTTGCAGGTTAGATTGCACGTGGAGGTGCCACCATTGGTATGTGAGGACTGTTACAAAAGGGTCATAGCAGAGTTTATGAAGCATGCAAAGGTGCTATTGGGCTACACTTAACTTATGCTTTATATAGTTATATAATGTTTTCCTCATATTCAGGCTAAAGGAAAATATATCTCGTAAATTAATGTTGTCTGTAAATACTCCTTATATTGTCCTTCGTGAGCATGATTAGTAATGATATTTGGTTTCTAAATTTGAAGCCATCAGTATAACCTCTTTGCATTCTTTCATTGAAAATTTGAGTTACCAAATTTCACAATCTTAAGGCCTGGTCCTGTCCTATCATATGTGAGTTTACTTATTGCCAAGTATAACAAAGTAGTTTGCTTGAGACTCATGGATCCCAGGTTTCAACATCTAAAGGAACCATGTTACTTTTATGAGCTAATTTAATTTAATTTTAAGTGAACAGGTTCCTGGATTTCGCCCTGGAAAGAAAGTTCCAGAAAGTATTCTTGTTAGTTATGTTGGGAGTAAAAATGTTCAGAAGGCTACAATTGAATCTATATTGAGGAGGACACTTTCCCATGCTATGACATCGGTATGTTGCAATATGGTTTTGATTTTCTTATTTTTTATGTTGTTACTGTTTCTCTTGATGTTTGTCTTTCAGACAATTTTGGGTTCATTGTGTTTATTTGCAATTATATCCATTAATGATTCCTTGATCTTGATTGAGAAACTTGTATTTAACAATTACAATCATCATGTTACTTAAATCTACTTTTTGTTGAAAGACAAGCTTGTTGGTTCATACACATCAATGCACAAGCATAAACTGATCATGGACATTTCCTCATTATATATTTCTACCAAAGTGCATGTATTTGAAATCTATGAACCAACAAGGCCTTTGATCTGAGAACTTGATCCTGATCAAAAGATTAAAAAAAGTTCTTTATAATTTCCGTATCCTTTGGCCAGAGTTATTGCTGAGAAAAGTGGATTATTCAGATCAAATATTATTCTTAATCTTACACTTAAGCATCTTGTGATTAATTGTGTTTTATAGGTTACTGGAAGGGCTTTGCAAGACTCTGTACGTATAATGACTAAGTTTTCTGAGATGGAGGAGACATATTCTTCTAATGGGTCTCTTAGGTAATTTATATGTTAAGCTGTTTGAAATACATTTTCTACTAGACTCATTATGTTTCTCTTTGGTTGCTGAATCTGTAATACTAGAACTATCTTTTGTCATAACATGGAGGAGGAAGATTGTCATTAAGAATGCTCATATTGTCAGACTTTTACAGGCAGATTATTTTAATTATTCTCACTGATTTCACTTCTCCAGATATCATGTTATTGTTGATGTTGCACCAGAAATCAAATGGATTCCTGATAATAATGCCTACAAAAATTTGAAGATTTTTGTTGAGATAGAGAGTGATATAGACGCCCACAGAGCATCTGAACAAGAATTCAGAAGGCGGTACAAGTCCATTGGTTCACTGAAAGTAGTTACTAACAGAGGGCTACAGGTGACTGCATTTAATTAATACCACCCAACTGGCATACAACCGTATCTTTTTAAATATGATTATTTATTAAAAATGCTATTAATTGAAACCTTCATGAATCATGTAATTCATAACACTTTCAAGTTCTATAAAGCAAGCATTAAGAAACTATCCAGATTTTCTCATGTGTGTTATATACAGTTTCAGCTGATACAATGGAGGATATTTACTGATTTTTTTTTTGTATTTTAGTTTTATATCTTTACTGTCTCTCATACTTGCATATAATTCTCATACAAATACTGTTTCGTTTGGTATGTATTTACTATTATCTTGATAATTAATTTTTGTATTAATTAATATCAACTAGTCTACCCAAAATTAGATGGCTGCTATAGGAAATTTTTTCCTTTTCACAGGTTGGTGATGTTGCTGTCGTTGACATCTCAGCAACAACCATTGATCAAGATGAATCAAATGTTAAAAATATTTCTTCTGCTGAAAGTAAAGGTCTGGTGATTTGCTTGAAGGATGATAAAGAATTGATAAGCAATAGAAATCTTTTTATTTTTGGTGATATATCATGAACATTTTATCGCTAAACTTTATATTAGATATGCAGGTTTTAATTTTGATACAGAAGATGGTGACAAATTATTACCGGGTTTCCTGGATTCTATAATTGGAATTTGTCGTGGTGAAACAAAGTCCTTTCCTCTTGTATTTCCTGAAACATGGAAGCAAGAAAATCTTCGTGGTGTTCATGCTCAGTTTACTGTAAGTTTCTAATGTGGAATAAAAAATTTAATTGTATTAGGTACATGAATTGGCATACTAGTTTCTTCTTTTGATCCGTCATATACCAACTTGTTCATCATAAATCCTTTTTGGCCATATGTCTCACAGAATTTATGGTGCTTTTTCATCTCTTCTTATGATACAATTACCCTCTTTGGTTTGTAGAATAGAGAGTAGCATTTTCTCACAGTAGTATGTATATGCTCTTTTGCATTGTGGCTCCAGAAAATTTTAATGACAAGTTTTTATCTTTCCACTTTTCTCCTAGAAAGAGGATGAAAGTAAGAAATGAGGCTTTACCTTTCTTGTTCAACTTGTATAGTCATTCCCAATCACACAGTAAATCATCAAAGCATTTTGTCTAAATGCAGTCTTGCTACTTTCCACTTGAGGGGATAGTTAACCCCTCTGCCAAAACTCAACTTACTTGCTCTCAATAGGATTCAAACTCTGGACCTTCTTTGTGGGGTACGTAGTGCTCAACCCATTTTCATGGGTACACATGTTTGTGTTTCATCTATACTTCTATAGTTGGTGGATTTTTACTATTTCTTTATTTGCTTGTAGCTTGCTTAAACATGCCCTTTGCTGCATATATAACTTTTAACAGATCACAATTACTGAATTTCTCTTTCATTCATAACAGGTTGAATGCAAAGAACTTTTTTACAGAGATTTACCAGAGCTGGATGATTCTCTTGCTGATAAGCTTCTCCCGGGATGCACCACTGTGGAACAGGTGACCTTTTTACTCTTAAGTCCAATTGTTGTGTAAACTGAAGAGTCATATTGAATTGAATTCAACTAAAATTCTCCAGCATCAATTGCCAGGTCAAAGACTTGTTGTTACAGAGATACCTTGAGGTGGAGCAAACAGCTAGAGAACAAGCAGCTGACAATACTATCTTAGATCAGATTTCTAAGGTAATATTGCATCATTAAGTAGCTGTGTAAGATTGAATCTGTCATGTTTTCTAGATTAGAAGGTACCTTGCCACGTTTTCAATACACATACTTCTTTTACATTCTGCATGACGTTGTGCATCTAACATGGATACACTTGAACTATTATTATTTTTTGGGGGGAGGCATATAACCATTATCAAGAAGGACTTCAGTTTCTGTAATTTTGTGACAAGTGATGACAAGATATAGGATGATAAGATCCGCCTTTCCTTCTGGACCACATGGTTAATTCTTTAATCTTAATGCATCTTGTAAATCATCTAGAGTTCAGAGGAGAGAGGACAATCTATCCTTGGAAAACATGACATTTATGAAACAAGTTTCATTTAAATTTGGCCCTTTACCATCAATATTTCTTTTAATGCATTATCTGCTGCAAGAAAATATCGGTGTCTGCATAGTTTATCACAGAAGATCTGTGTGTCTCGTCATTTTCAGATGGTAGAAGTGGATATACCTCAATCCCTGTTTGAGGAGCAAGGTAGGCAGCTTTATGGGGCCAACCTATTAGAAATACAGGTATTGATTGCAAGATGGATCATTTTCAGGCCAATCGGCAACTTGATTTCCAGCAATTTTACATTTATTCATGATTTAATGCAAAAATAAAAAATAAAAAAATCTCTCTCTCTCTCTCTCTCTCTCTCTGTATCTGACACAATATTGTACCTGTTCTTATTTTAGCAAAATTGTGATGCAGGCAAAAATGCAACTAAATGAGCAGCAGCTGGCATCTCTATCAAGTCCAAAGGCTGTCAATGAATATCTTGAGCATCAGAAGGAAAATATAACAAACTTGATAAAACAGAATCTGGCAGTTGGTGATATATATAGGCGTGAAAATCTGCAGGTATGTGTGTTTGATTAATATATGTACCCATTATAAATATTGGCTCAGATTGTACTGACAACAAATTTTCCCTTCGTCAAAAGATGACATAACTGAATTGCATCCACCCAATTCAATGTGATTGAGAAATAGCATTTGCTTTGCATATCACTTGCTTTATTATTAAACTATCTAGTGTAATTGGTGAATGTTTTTGCTTATTCAAATGATTTGTGCGTATATGTTTTTTAGTTTTCTACTGAGGACCTTGTCAAAGAGGTTGAGAATTCCATTGCCGAATTCAAACTTCAAAATCAAGAATATGACGAGGAACGGGTGAAGGAACAGGTTTGCACCTTACTTTTGAGTCTGTTGGCTGTTGTTTTCTGTTTTGGCAGTTTCATCATTACATAAATGCATATAAAAAGTTAGGAATATCTTGAACCGTCTTCAGAATGGGCCATGTAGGGATATGCACTTCCTACTTGCATAATAAGTTGATTAACTAAATTTTTAAAAATATCTAGACAATGGTAGGTTAGTTTGCATTTTCAAGGAGGAAAAATTTTGCTTTGGGTCGAACTTCTCTCTCTCCGCTAATATAAAAGATCAATTGATATGATATTTTTGAACTTTCCTGAAGGTTCAAGAAATACTGGAAGGAGCTAAGGTGCTTGAATGGTTGAGAGAACATGCAGAGATTCAGTATATAACTAGGTGAGAGATGAGCACTGGCCCAAACAAATCAGGAAAATGACATTGCAGGTCCATTTGAAAGAATTTTGTTTCGGCTAATGTAAGTTGTGAGAAAATAAACTATTCTTGATTGAATTTTGAAGAAAAAATATTATAAATAAAGTTATGTATTACAATTTACAAATTTGCATTGAGACTTCTATGATAAATTAATAGTAGGGAGCACAAAAAAAAAAAAAAATGGAAGAAAAAGCAACATATTTCTCATATACAAGTCGTCTTCAAAATGTCAATGTTAAGCTCTAAAATATAAGAACAATTCCAAAAGAAAAGAAAAGCAATGCCATATGTAAGGATAGCTATACTGTGTGTTCTAAATATACTTCAGCAGCTATAAAAGAGAGGTCTAAAAGAAATCCTTTACTAATCTCCACTTGTTCAAACAGGGTAATCATCTATAAATATAACCCCAGTTGAAGCATGCTTTATAAAGTGTATATAGTGAGTTGATCATGTCTGAATAAAACGCCTTTCTTGTAATATCTGCCCGAGTTTTGTGTAGAGAGATAGCTGCTCCTCTGAACCAAGGTTCCTCATTATCTACACCATAAATTAAAAAATTGCAAATTATTTTGCAGCAAATATTTGAGCGTTTGCTCTATGGGTAATGGCCATAGTAAAAGGTATCATGTTTAACCCACACCTATGCAACATTGGACTGAAAGAAAACAGAATCCTCTATTTTTTCACATGATTATAAATTTACCAATAAATTGCTAAAACTAAAATCTCACCTGGTCCAAAAACATCTCAACTGAATAATCTTGGGTCACAACAAATGACTGGTGGTAAATATAGACAAAAACAGCCATTACCATCTGAAAAGGATGCATAACACAGTATAAAAAACAATTGTAAGATATTTCTCTAGGTAATTTATCAGTTTTGTTAATCTTAATTTTTAAGAATGAGTTTAAGCAACTAATAATAGTAATATTTTATTAAAAATAGAAGCATTCATTACAATGTATTGAAGATATAAGACTATAATAAATGTTTCTATTTTAATAAAATTTTACTATTATTAATTATTTTAACTCAGCAAAAGGCTAAGTTAACAAAATTATTAATTTATTGCATGTCATAAGAGGAGATATTTGTGTGCTTTAATTTATTGCATGTCATAAAAACCTGGCAATCCATTCTGTCAGTAAATCCGCCATGTCCAGGTATGCTGTCCCCAAAGTCCTGCATTCAATGAAAGCCATCAATGTTGTGTTTGGGAGTTTTAAAGTGAATAGAGAAAAACTGATGGTTGCGAAGTAACCTACTACAAAAGAGCAAGAGCAGACCTTGATTTTAAAAGCTCTTTTGAATCCACTAGCGAAAAAACCTCCAAATGGTGCTATGATGGACGCAAATAATCCCATCCACAAGGCATGCCACTGCACTGGCAAAACTGCAATCTCTTTCCAAGTAAGCTACAAGATGTTGTAAAATGAAATAACTTCGTAAGATTATGGGAAATATTGAATCATATGAGTGCTAATCGTATCAGCACGATTAACAAAGTATCACCCGGGGCTTTTCATTAGATTTTGTTTTGTGAGCATAAACAAGCGGGGATAAATACTGCATAACTTTTCATTCTTGAAGCCTTCTTTTTCTTGATGAAACAAACCTAAGTGATGCAGTGTATTTGATAACGAGTTTTAAAAATATTACCTTCAACTGGTGAATCTAAAGAATTCTCACTTACCCAATGAGAAATAAATCCTGGCAATGGAATGAACTCTGGCTTAAATATTGGGTCAGGGTCACACTGAAGCCAACCAGTTGATAAATCCTGAATTTATTTCACAAAATGATCATCGTTAGGAACAGGACACATATTTCTCCTTTTAGATGACTACACCTAACATGGATTGTTACCTTCCTTGGACATGTTAGCCACTGGAAGTGACCCAAGAAGTTTGCAAACTGCATAAGTAAAGGTGAAATCATCGTGTAAAGCAAAAATAAAGAAAAATAATCATTAAATCATCTATAAATTGAAGATTGTGAGGTACACAAATATGATCTAGTAGGGCTGGTTCCATCAGATGGAAAATTATAACAAAATAAACAAGGTGTGAATTTTGAAAATTTTGTGAAATGTTACTTGTTTAGCATCTCTCCTAATGGAGGGTAATTGTTATGGTTCCATAAAAAACTGATGCTTACCGTAAATGCAGCAATCATAGTGGCAACGGATGCTCCGATGAATCCTTCCCATGTTTTCTTTGGGGAAAGCTTGATCAGAGGTGTTCTCCCAAAAAAGAAACCGAAGACATATGCAGCAACATCATTCATAGCAATAAGGGATGCAGGGAAAAGAAACCTTTCATAATAATTTTAACACATTAGATTGTAATAATAACAATAAAATAAGATAATTTAAAGCATGAAAAAACATAAGGGTTAGCAATAGCAAAGCAGTTACTAGTAATAGAATATCTCCAGGATTTCCATTGAATGAGAAAAAGATCATAGGTGATGCTGTTGCAGGAAATTGTAACTCTTTTGAGAATTAAAAACTATAATGATACTTATATGACCACTGAGTGTAAAGAGTCCTGTTATTTTTTTTATTTATTTATTTTTTTTTTTTCTATCTTTCTTCTTCATAATGAGAAATTTTACTATAAGACCATCAAATCACAATATTCAATCGAAACATCTTTAATCCTTGAGCAACCGCATAGTTAATTCGAAGACAGCTAAAATTTATATTATTATATATGATACCCCCCTAACTTTTCTGTCTTCTCAATTAAGCTGAGAACAATACCAAAGTCAACAAACAAAAAGTAGAAGATATTTTCAATTATTTAATGCATACAAAAATATAAAATTTCCGAAACCAGACAAAAGTTGGAACAAATAAAGCATTAGAGAAAGCTAACAGAAAAAAGAAACTAACTATGTTCAACAATTTTCTGATCAAATATAAATGAAGCTAGATCAATTAATCATTACAAGGAAAGATGTTTGAGTAAACTAAAATCACATAAAATACGAAAGAATAAACTAAAAGAAGGAATTAGAAAATATAGATTTCATCATTAAGTAATTTCGCAGAAATCATGTTACCAGAAAATCCCTTCAAATATATTGGCTACAGTAAATGCAGACTGAGTAAACACAACAATAAGTATCATATGTGTCCATGCATACTGGCCAAACTGATATTTGTAGTATCTCTTCCTTAATGAAAGGATAAACCATACAAAGCCTGAAATCACAGATGAAAAGACTTATTCAGGAATGAATGAATTTTTTAAATTAAAAGGCAACAGACACTTTAACCAGCAGAAGACTAGAATAACATAATATTTGATACCAAAATTTAGTTAGTTACAGGATTGACTCAGACTTCTTAGGAATGTGCCAAGAAAGACAGAACATATAGGAATCTTCAATGAATATACATTAATTATTTATTTTTCCTTCCTTACCAAATCTTGGTTGACAATATTGGGATGGGATTATCATACATTAACATTCCTATGAGTGAAACAATTGGAAGTACTAACCTGCAATGTATAAAAAGTAACATATAACCATCTGATACTTGATCAGGTTGCTCACAAGTCTATAGAAGAATTTATCTGAGGTCACTGTATTCACAAGTTGTTGTCTGAGAATGCGGCCATAAACGAATAGCATTGCTGTGAAGAAAAAATGCCTGGACATTGTATTCAGAATCTTATCTTCGTGAAATTTTTTTTTCTCATATGTACATGATCATTTAAAATTACAGTAGCATAGATGCCTACCAGTTCAATCGCTTAAACTTAGGGAGACGTTTATGTTGAGTAGCTCTTTTCAGTAGATTGAAGAGCTCACTGGCCATAAATATTTGGATAACAACAACCATAGCCCAAATGTAAAGATGACCCAAGTATATGATCAGTGAGACACTTGCTAGCATCCACAGAGAGGAGTATGCACGGATCCACATTGATCTGTATTTACATTTATCATCCACAAGTAAATAGTTTCCATTTGATTTGCTTATCTCAGGAGGAATCTGACACAAAAATGCAAGCATCAGTTTCAAATTCTCCAAAATGAAATTTCTTTTTCTTCTATGTTTTATTTTCCTTTACTACAGCATTTGATTAATAACTTACACATGTGTTAAAGGGAAGTCTATATTCAATAATGATTTCTTCTACTACATGCAGAGGTATCTTAGAGGAACAAAATTTATAATTTAAACGCCAAACCAGTGTTCCAATAATAATAAGGATGCTTTGGAAACATATATAGCTTCCTTTCCCATATTCAGCACAATATTTTCCCCTCCAATCCTAATAACCATACTTCATTCCTCAATAAATGATTAACAAAAATAAACCATTTAAAGCTGAATTACACATATAAAATAAAATGCATAGAAGAGAATCATAATTTTGTGCACATTGACGGAATCAAATGTTTTCCAAATTGACAGAATCTCCATAACAGGTCTTGCAGTAGCATAACTTAACACTAAAAGTTGGTATTACGAAAAAATATACATCCCTAATCACAAAGATACATGTTAATAGACTACACCAACCTCATTTGAGCGTCTTCTTAGCCGAACATTTGGCGTTCTTGGTGAATTACAGTTATGATCCGTATGTATATCTCTCATTGTTGAAATGATAGTTCAAATATTTTTGGAGTGATATTCATGCATGGACTAAGACCTCCCCTGAGATATCAGATGCCAAAAATTTATAAATGTATCAAAATAGAAATGGAATGATCACTCTAACAACGAAATGGCAGACATTAACATAAAAGGAAAAATAATGGATAATGGCGAAGCAGGTGAAAATTGAAAGAGTACATACTCGGAGAAAGTCGTTTATGAAAAGGTTGAAAATGACAAAAGAATCAATTGGGAGAAATTGATGATGTCTTTGATGTGGCTTTGCTATGTTTCAGGAAATTAGAATAACAGAAAACATACCACTACCATGACAAGAAACAGGAGAGAGAACAAACCACGAGAGATACGTAATGCTCTTTATTGACCACTAAGTTACTTTGTATTTGATGACGCATCCTCTGAATAAATATAAAACTTTATAAGTCTATTGCCAATATCATAAAACATATAAACATACAAAAGATAACAAAATATGTATAAAAAATAATTAATAACTAATTAGTCCTAGATTTGTTTTCAAAAGTATTAATGCTGTAATTGTCTTACACAATCTAATGTTGCAAAATAGTTTAATAATAATCTCTCCTTCTCAGCAACCCCTATAAACATGTACTGGCAAGTGATTAAGCATGTTTATCCAAATATCTCTCATGCAGTTCTCATGGGCATGTTTTGATAAACATATTAATTAAATCAAAACAAAAAAATAGATTCATTAAATATTTATTTAAAATTTGTTATTATATAATAATTTATGTAATAAATTTAATTATAAAATTTATAAAAATAAGATAAAATAATTCATTTTAATATAAGTTTTATATAAATTCTTCCACAATCTTCACAGTCATGCTAATACCGTGCAATAGAAATTTTAATAATTTAGATTAAAATGTGTTTTTTTTCTGAAAATATGAAAAATAATTTTCTAACTTAATTTTTAATGAAATATTTAATTTTATTTTCAATTATTTTATTTATGAATGATACTGATAGAAATCTCACCAAAAATTTGAGTATCCAGATTTGCCCCAAAACAAAATTGTGCAGATACATCAAAATCTCTATTTTTTAACCTAGCTTCAGAATTTTACGAAATGACCCTCTTCTAAAATGCATAGATATCACAATGTATTGCATCATCAACGTAAAATTAGAAAATGATCACTAAAATAAAGCAGGCCTAGCTCACCAAAAGTTTTATAGTCTCTTCAAATTAAATTATAATGGACATTAATTCCATTCCATTGAACAACAATGGCACAAGTGGGAAACCCAAAATCTGGGTCCACGATGACAATATTTAATCAGAAAGGAAAAGGATAGATATCATGTGAGGGATAAGAAAATAGGTATAACACGAGAGGAGGGCATAAAAAATTTTGTGCCTATAAAGTACAATCATATTAGAGATCATTCCATAACAAATCGCTGTTTATTTTAGCTAAGATAGTCAATTTGAACTATGATTGAGAATAATTGATATAATAATACAAAAGCATGTGAGAATAATTGATATAATATTAGAAGAAATTGTGCTTTCGGTTGGTCAAAGCAACTATACAAATTCAGAGGTATTATATTCCCTGCCTAGGCCACATGTGCCATGGCCCAACTCTTCATTGGCATCTTTATCCATTTGAGGGCAGGACATAATCTAAAATCACTGTGCTTTCAGCAATGATTGTACAAATATTTATCAAGTTATATCATTATAAATATTTTTTTAATTTAAAATAAAATGTATAAAATTTAATGTATTGATAGTATTAAATATTATATTTTTTTATAAAAAATTATTATATATAATTTTTTTATCATGTACAATATAGTACATATTTTTTAATTGTATTTAGTAAAAAATAAAAATGTATGTGTAGTATTTAAGTAATGACTAAAAGAGATAAATATTACATAATAAAATTATAAATAATTTTAATTAAATTGAGGAGCTAAATTATATTTTATTGATTTATTTACAATGATTTTAAATAATAGATAAAAAAGGAGTAGATAAATGAAATTTTTTTATGGTATCTCTATAATTATAATTATACAACTTCTAACTGAAATAATTGCTGAATGGATTTTATGTCATTTTTATAGTTTTTTTCCAGAAAATTATTAAATATTAGTATACGATAAGTGCTTAAAAATCTTAGTATGAGTGTGATTACCATTCCAAAAATATTGTTTATATTTTTTAATCTATTACTCTTGAAGAAAATATTTACTATTTTTAATTTTAAAATTAAAGATGCTTATTGCTCAAGCCAAGTAAAAACATGTGCTTATTCTAAACCCTAAACTTATCTTAACCGTAAACTCAGAAAAATGAAACGGCATATCATGCTCTAAAAAGGAGAAAAAAATAATAATTATATATTTTTATAAAAATATATAAAAGGAAAATTATTTGTATCATTACCAAATAAAGAAGAAGAAAAAGAAAACAAACACTTATTTATGGAAGGATCCCCGTGAGACCTTAAAGGGTGACAACTTTCATATCTTTTTAGTTCTTAGTCTAATCAACTCAGCATACATTTGAGGGTTGGATGATAAAAGAGATAGCAAATTGTCAACGAACGTTTCTAACTAAGCTCACAATTTATAAATTTGATACGTATACATTAGTTAGTTTATGTAACTGATAATCCTCTTAAATTCGTAATTGCCCCATCTAAACAGGATATTGCTATTAATATAAAAGCAATTATTTTTAAGAAGATTTAAAGATGTTGTTTTCCGATTTTATGTATGAAATGAAAACTGAAAGCTATACTTTGTTCTTTAATTTTGTCTTAAGAGGTACACAAAATAAACCAAAATTAAAATGATTGATATTATTTAAGTGGGATGTCTTAACTATTATGAAAGCTCAAATGAACCATTACTTTATATTTTTATTTTCTACTATTTAATTTAGATAGTTTGATCATTTTACAATTTATTGATTTATCACTATTTAACATGTCGGTCCCACAAATATTTGTTTCAAATTATGATGGTTGTAGGTCAATGTTCCAAACCAATAGAGCAAGATGTGACACACTCTAATAATGTTTGTCAAGAGAAAGACGCAAAATTAAGAAATTCCTTAAATCAAAGCGTGTGGGAAAGTTTGTCACGGGGAAAAAGAAACAGGCTTTTGAATCAATTTGGCTAGATATGCCGATTAATGTTTAATTAACCAAATAAATGATTAATTCAATTTTATTACACTGAATTTTACACAGAGTAAAGTTTTGGGGGGCATATATATATTATACACACTACATGGCACCGCAAAAATTGTTCTAATGCTGCAATGATACATATATTTCTCTATAAAAAAGCCTGAAACCTAGGTCATTCCAAATGCAACAATGATGTAGGATGGGGTATGCCTTCCATAATCACATAATAATAATTCTAATATGGGATGCTTACGTAGAATGAGAAGCTAAGTTATGGCCCAAGGAAAGGGATAAACGAAAACCTGTTGTTGTCACGTTGCAAAGGATTATTATACACTGAACAGAAATATAGGTGGCTTCCCACTGATGCTGTCATTACTCATTTGGACAGAGACGTGTTGGATTCGTGATGACACCCAACCCCTGACCGCGACCTTTGCCTTTGCCCATGTCTGGGTTTTCCTATCCTTTGCTTTTTTCTTATTATTTTTTCCGGTTATATAATTATTGACAAATTTTTAGAAAAATAGGAAACCATTCCTCATTTGTTACTTGCAATTGCCCCTGCCCTTTAGCATTATCACATTTTTGGCCTTTATTTTATTCAATTCCATGTGTTTATCCTTTCACACAATTAAAATTAACTTAAAATATTATTACCAAGAATATTAGCAACACAATATATATCTATATATATATGCATTGCTGGTATCATTATTGTTAAAAACAAAAATATTTAAATGAATGAAGAGAAATAATATTTTGTCTAATTTAATACAGTTAGATTTTGGTAACAAGAACATAATAAGTTATTAATATGATGTAAAGTGTTGCTAAAGGATAATAATTAAGTTAACAATTATGGTAATAACTAATAATTATCTATCCTTTTTATTGATTCCTATTTAAACACACCCTTAAAGCTTGTCATGTATGTTAATACAAGATTGATGCATTTAAGTCTCACCAATCACAAGTATTAGTAATAGTTGTAATATCATAGCTACTACTGCAGTAAATAGTTGTAA